CTGAGGTTAGCAGTTTAGTTTAATAATAAAAAATATAGAATCTAAAATCTTTTAATTCAAAAAATTATCAATACATACAAAAGCCAGCTACTGTATAATTTTAGATACAGTGCAACACAAATCAGATGTATATTACATATATGTGATCTGCACCAGCAAATATGTCTTTTCCCCCCCTGTGTAAACCCACACACTGGCAGATTGCAGGTTTGTGCATGTTGAGAGGCCACTTCCACAGTGTTGACAGGACTCAGTTTTTCACAAAAGCAGCAATTTTACCACACTTGATCCCCACATCCGCATATCCTGGAAACTGTGCCTCCACTGTCTGCATGACAGCATGTGTGCTCTGGGTGTCAATTGACACACATGAAATAGTCCACAAACACCGCCTTTGTGGTGTATTGAAGACAATGTTTTCAGTGCTTGTTTTTGGATGCTTAGACACCATATTTTAAACTTCTCAGAACTATATCCAAGAGAACAGACGGGGATTTCACAGATGTTGATATAATCCAAGACTATGATCACAATAAGTGGGCCAGATGACATAACAGCAATGCATTGACTGTAGCAACAGGCTTTTATGATGTACAGTCTAAATTTACCTATAGGCAGTCATTTTTGTCAGGTCAGAGAACTGAATTGAATTCAGCTGTCCACCTCTTGAATAAACACTGCTGAAGCCATGGTGAGCTGCGGCTAAACTCCTCTAAACAATTCCCAGATATCATCCTTGCATGTCTCCAGTACAGCCTGGGGAGCTTTGTGCATCCAGAAAGCGGTGAAGCTAATGGTCGACAACCCATGAGCATTAAGACATTCATCTTCACCCTGAGTACAGGATAACTAGCTCCCTCAGTCTCACCGCAATTTAGCCAAGCCTTCAAATAATAAGTTTACCTACTGCAGTCTGCTGCAGGCCTCTTACATATCTTATTTCCCAGTGCCCTATACTCCCACTTACTGCAAAACCACTCTATTGCACAGTGGGCAATGATTTCAGACTTCCCACTCTTGCTGCTGCTTATGGGTCAGATTAGAAGGCTATTCTAATAATTTCTCTTTTGACCTATTTCCATATGCCAGATTTGACCCGTTTGCGGTCTGCTTTGGAGGCATTTGTCCCCACCTCATGAGCACATTACCATCTGGATAAGACACCGTTTCTTCCAAATATGGTTAAAATGTTATATAGTGACACCTTTCTTCTTACAAGAAGAATCGCAGTGCTGTGAAGAAATTCTGTTTATATTTTGCCATCAAGGATTAAATCCACGATGCCAAAAATTTATCGAAGTGTACGTGTTTATGTGAGTGTGTTTGTTCTATGTGAACAGTACTGCATTTGTGTATGTGTATTAATAAATAGACATACCTGTGTGTTTCTTTGAGTATATACATCTTAGGTTTAATCTGTTCTTGCACAGTATGGTTACATAATTATAGACATGTGTTTCTATATATTTTTTTTTATTTCACGCTGTGTGTTTAGGAGGGTTCTACTTGTAGAAACAGTTTCTAAGTCTCGAAGTAAAACAGTGTCAGGCTCTGTAATGAGGGCACCTCTCCTGTGGTTTGGCCCGATTTTAAATGGCTGCTAAACTCCTGGTTTGCAGATTGGTGGTGAATGTGAGAGTTTATACATTTGTGTATATATGGTAAATAATAAATGGACTGATACTTACATATTGACTTGCCTCTCTAGCAGAGCAGTCAAATCACTTTCCATTACAGTCGCCCGTTGGCACACAAATGAAGACAGGCTTTTTATTCTATGCCTTTGAGAGCTTTGTGTAACATTCACACTCTGATCTGATGGATGGTTTAGGGACGACCTGGGGTTCAGCATCTTGCCGAAGGACATTTTGAAATGCAGACTGGATGGGCCAGGGATCAAACTAGTGACCTCTCAATTAGTGTCTAATGTTAATGAGAGAAATTAAGGTGTGAGGAGCAGTCAACTCTCTCTCTCTCTCTCTCTCACACACACACACGCACACACAATCGTGTTTTAATTTCTTAGTAGAGACATCTAATCGACATAATGCTTTCCCAAGCTGCTTCCCCTCAAAAATAAAAATGAATGCCTGATGCTAACCCTTGGCCTAAACCTAACCATAACCTAATTGTAAGTCTGACACTAAAACCCCACTGTGAGTCCCACAAATGCCTTCAAACTCATGGGGAGGGGCATTTTGTCCCCATAACGCTGTTGGTCCCCACAAGTACACACACACACACACACACACACACACACACACACACACACACACACACACAAAGGGAGTGACTTCCCTTTGAGTTATTATTACTTTAAATAAGTAACATTATTGATTATTACCCAAATTATTTTTCA